AGTGGAAATACGAATGGGTTCTTCACAACGGGACATAAAAAGGGCAATCGATAACATGCCCAAGACTGCAGCAGCAGGAGACATCCGCCGATAGCATTACGCCTGTAGTCAGTGGCTCCACACATCTCCCTGTACAGCAAAGCCAAAACTGCCGATCCCCAACTGAATGATCCGGTGAGACGAAAGTCGCTAAGATGTTGCAACCACATGCAGTGAACTAGGTTGCGCAATTTTTCTAGCATCAGCAACCCTCCTATCAGCTGCAGTATGCATGCCCGTGCATACATCTTAACCTCATGCTCAGAGGCGTTTGCGCTTAACTCCCGAAAATTGGCATCTAACCAATTTAACGGTATCCTACCTCCGATAAAATCTTTCGGGACATTTCCTAGACTATCCCGACACAAAGTAGTCCAAGAACCGGAAGCTATCCCCGATATCACATCTCCATCCACCGGAAGCCCCAGGTGCATAAAAACATCCTCAAGCGTGATCGTGCACTCTCCGCACGGAAGATGGAATGTGTGGGTCTCCGGCCTCCACCGCTCTACTAAGGCAGAAATCAGGTCTGGCTCTATCTTACAGTGACCCTAATATCTACCTTTGTAACCGAATCCAGCCTTTACTAAATACGACAAGACACGGCGGGGTATCACTAACTTAAGATTCCTAATAAAATGATCTAACACACGGTCCTTCTTCTAAAAATAAATAATTACAAAAATTAATTCTTAATCTAATAATCATGCATTAAATGAATTAACTAATTATTACTAATAATTTAAATTAAATTAAAACGTTAAAATATTACCGTATCAGCAAAGTGTCGAGATATTTAATTCTTAATCTAATAATCATGCATTAAATAAATAACTAAATGTTACTAATAATTTAAATTAAATTAAAACGTTAAAATGTTATCGTATCAGCAAAGTGTAGAGATATATGATTTCCATTCGAGCGAAGTAGACTGCCTTCCATTATATATCTGTAAAAGAATTATATTAATAAAATATTAAATAAAGTAAAAATATAATAGTAAAAATATTATAAAATATACCTTAAAAAGAGAGTAATTGAGAGAAATTTAGAGAATTTGATAGAATTTGGTGTGATAAAAGTGATTGAGGATGAGGGTATTTATAGGGAGGATGGGGCGTGAGGGGGGGTAATTAGGGGTATAGCGCGCCCCCTGCACCGCGCTATACCCCACGTGTCAGATATCTAGGTATAGCGCGCTGCAGGGGCTGCGCTATACCCATGTGTATGCCAGGTCACCGTATAGCGCGGTGCAGGGGGCGCGCTACTATACCCCACGTGGCGCCAAATCATCGTATAGTACGGTGCAAGGGGCGCGCTTTACTGCTAAAGGTGTTAGATCGAGAAATATAATCTGACCAGTATTAGATCAAGAAATATACTGTTCATCGATGATATATCGGGAAAATCGCAAGTGAAAATAGTCCTGCCAGCAAAACCATATAGACACGGTACAAGACTGTCTTATATTGGAGCACACTCTGAGTTAGACAAAAGGATAACCCTGTCCTGTCTGTCAATATTCCAACAAACTCGCCATTAACTGCAAAGGAAATTTGCGTACAACACCAGATCATTAGGTCCCCCATTCCTTACCACATTTAAGGTAAAAGATACGCAAATTTCTCGAGGAACTGGTTGTACAAATCCCAACCTCTTAAAATCAATGATCCACCTCAGATAAGATTAACGCGATACTTGATATTGTCTTTTATGGAAGTATTTGCGATAAAATCGAGACAGGCGAGCATTTGCTAGTGTACCGTCAATCCCGAGAGAATTTATGTAGATGTACACATCGATACCAAAATGAAAATGGGTGATCGACGAGATGAAGATAGGGTTGCAGTTGCTATCATTTTGCTTATTAAGTTAATGATACCCAGAATATGGAAAATGATACCATAGCTTTTTCAGCACCATTACTACTCTCAAAAGCTTCTCCTTTTGACTTCTCTTTTGTTATCGGACGCTTTTCTTTCCGACTTATCTTACTTTGATTTTTATTTATGTATCATCACATCTGATTTTTATTTTATGTTATACTCGCATTCGAATCACATAAAAGAGCATATGGTTAAAAATGTTATTTTTTGAGTTGTCAAAGGCATGTCTTGAATTTAATCAAACCTATGACAATATGATAGATAAAGAGCTTTTAATACTACGATCTCGAGTATTTTAGAAGATAACTAACAAAATTTAAGATATGATCAAATTCAGGACATGTATTTGACAGCTCATAATCAACATGTTTGGCTTTGAATTTCTCAAATCTCACATTGTTTAGATATGAGATTTTCTTTAAGTGTTTAAACATAACCTTTTAAACATGCATTAATTTAGTGGTTGATTATAAGACTAATATATATATATATATATATATATATATATATATATGACGTTGTCGCCTGAGTTGTGATCGTGCAAATACATGTCTTTGACACACACCACATGAGTGTTTGAAAACTCGAACCGACCCATGCTTACCTAATTATAAATTTCCTACAAAAATAAAATATTATTCACATGCATACAAATGTATCTGAAAATTTAATTAATTATTTTATTTATTTTGTGCTGTAATCGTAGTATATAATCACACATAACAATGGGCATAAGTAGAAAACTGTGTTACCTATTCTCATCCATTCAAAACTTTAATCCTTCAACGACACTGAATTAGGTTATAACTAATAATTATGCAATTTTTTTTTGTTACAAAAAGTTTAGGTAAGAGGTGTTTCTCTCAATCTAGGGTCAGGATATATCTAAAATTCAATTGGAGAATTTACAAATTGTTCACCAAGAATGACAGTGATAAGATTGGTCAAATAAAATTATCTTTGATTGTCATATTGACATTGGTCGAATAAAATTCAAGGCTTATCTTTAACAACTCAATTTCAATAAATTTGACAATCAAATTCTCAACTTTCATATTGTTTATATATGGTTTGTTTTTAACTGTTTAAATATAATCTTTTAAACATACACTCGTTGATTGATTGAAGACAAAGGCTCTATAATCACACGTTGTCATCATCTAGTCGACTAATGCTCGTACCTATTTAAATCTTAAAATTTAAAAATTTAAACCCTAAATTTTAAATATAAATCATAAACTTTGAATCAATAAGATATGCAATATTAAAATAAATACACTTGTGTAAATTAAATGAGTGTTGCTCTCCCTTAAAATTATAAATTTAAACAGTTATATCTACATATACGTATGCTGTCAATAATTAAAATAAATTATAAATAAATATTATTTTATAATTTCTCCATATCATTTTTTTAATAATTTTCCATACAATGAAAGTTTATAAAAAAATAAAAAAATCGATTCAATTAATTTACTCATCATATATTTACCTCATATTTTGTTTTTAACCGTTCACGTGACTCTTAATTTTATCCTATCAATTTGATCAATATAATCATTAATTTTTAATTCACTCAATCGAAATGATATGACAGCCATGCTACAAATTAAAATAAATTAAATATATAATTTAGACCTTTCTTTTTATTTTGGGTAAATTAGATAAATATTACAGTTTGTTTTTATATTATATTTTTTTAATTTTTTAATTTATGGTAAAATCTACAGTAATTTTAAAGACACCCAAAATATATCTTCACTGTTTAAGAAATTATTTTGAATAAAAAAATAGGACACCATAAAGATACGACGTTTTCACCGTTTATTTAAAAAAAATCACTCGGATATCATACATACATGGTGTCTTTACTGTACTAATATTAATATTAAAAAAATGGGACGGCAGGCTTCCAAACCGTCTTCACTGTGCATCATTATTTTGAATTTGAAATTGAACCCGGTAGAGCCGCGCAGTTCTGACAAATAATCACGTGTGACAGTTTTAATATATAGTTAAAAATATATTATTGATTTTATTATTATTTAAATAAAAAAATAAAAATTATCTGAAATATTATTATTTTTATTATTTTTATTATTATTGGACATTTTACTTATTTTTTTTATCGATTTTGTTATTGTTAAACATTTTACCAGAAATATTAAAAACATTAATGTTTTAGGTAAAAATAATAGTCTTTTAAATAATTTTTTATTGATTTTATTATTTAAATAATAAAAAAATCAGTATCACTTTTTTAATTATATATTAAAGGCGTCTGTATAACTTCCCCGCAGCACGTGACCAACAAATTGCAGGGGTGAGGCGGGTGTATGAGACTTTGGGAAATGTAGTAGAATAGTATTGATTAATATATAGAGAAGGTGTATTAATAATTTATTAAAAATTAAAATATATTGTGTAAGGGTAAATGATAGGATAAGTAACAGAAATATAATTTTTTAGAGAATTAATTTTTTATGTTAAATATATGAAGTTGAAGATGGAGTGTGGGGGAAAATTAGAGTAAAGAAGAATGAGAAAGATAAAGAGAGAGAAAGTTAAGTGAAAATATAGTAAGTTAAATTTTGTATTTTAATTTTTATTTAAGTAATATTATATTTCAAGTTTTGTTTTAAATTTTTAGATTGTATATTGTTGATATATTTCAGTATATTTTGAGTAAAAAATAACGAGAAAATGATATTTAGAGTTTTGGTAGAATTTTAGTGGTTTTGAAGTAATATATTTGTTTTGATTTTTGTATTTTGATTCAAAATATATGTGTTTCTTAACGTGCAGAGAAAATGATCGACAAGTTTTTAGCGTTTGTCTATTGCAATGGACAAATTTTGAAAATTGATGTCGAGATTGTATTTGAATCTGAAAGCCCTATTAACATGATGTTTAAAAGCGAAATCACGCTTCAACAATTAAAATAAATGACAAAACAAATGAAAATTGGAGCTGAGATTGGTGATTTGTAGTACACGTAGATGACATGTAACAATCCAGTCAGATATTCTGCAACATCTCTTTGAGATGATAGTAATGTTAGAATCATGATTGCAGTACATGAATTAACAAATACTCAAATTATTGAGTTATATGTTGAGGTGCGCGAGATATATAATGTTCCCGGCTCATCCAGAAACCTATTTAGAAATTCATCTGAAATGGGTCTTGCCAATGGGACATCGAGTGCATTTAATCCATATTGTTGCCTTTCGATATACGCATATGTTGATCCTAATGTAGATGTTGTCGTTGAAGCCTTCGAGGTTGTGGGGGAAACACTTATCGATTCTAGCGATGATGACGAAGAGGATATCTATTTGATTGGTGATGACTTTATTTTCGATGGCAGTGAATTTACTTCTAACGATGACGTAATTACATTCTACCAACCTCCTACTCACATGAACTTAATAGATTACGATGCGATGAAGGTGCTTGAATTTATGCAGATGGCTTCGGGTAACTCTCATGACTTATCGATTGGGATTCAATTTAATAAAAAAAAGATGAAGCTATATTGAAAATTAAAAAGGATTACATCAAAAACCGCGTGAACTTCATTGTTGTAAAATCCAATCTGAGAACTTTATTTATAAAATGTATTAAATACGAAGAAGAGTGTAATTGGAACATCCGAGTGTCTAAACTTCAGAGGAAAAGTGCTTGGGTGATCACAAAGTACAATGGCGATCAGAAATGTTTACGAAGTTCCATCCAACAAGATCATCGACAATTGAACCCGAATGTAATATGTGAATACGTGAAGATGTTGGCTGCAACAAATCCAAGGGTTCTCATTTTAGTGATACAAGTTTCTATTAAGAAATAGTTTGGATATCAAATAAATTATGCCAAGGGTTGTCATGCAAAAGAAAAGACAAATAAGTTAGTGTTTGGCGATTACATTAAGTCCTATAATGAGCTACAGGCTTTATTACAAGCAATGAAATATTTTATCTCAGGGAATAAAGTAAAGTATCAAACATTGGATGCATACAATCCAGAAGGTCGACTTGTGGAAGGGAAGAAAATATTTCATCGATTATTTTGGGTATTCAGACCATGCATCGAATGATTTCCATTTTGCAAACAGATGGTTCAAGTTGATGGGACATGGTTATATGGAAGAGACAATCATGTATTGTTGATAGCAATTGTACAAGATGGTGACTGAAATATATTTCTGATTGCATTCACAATTGTTGATAATGAGTCAGCAGAGTCTTGGAACTTCTTTTTGAGTAATTTACGTGAGTATGTTGTTCGAGAAGACGATGTTTTCCTGATATTTAGTAGTGGAAAAGACATTTTAGTTGTAATTGAACGGCCAGTAAGTCGTTGGACACCTTCACACGCATATCACACGTACTGTATACGCCATATTGGTAAGAATAGTTGGGAAATGTGAAAAAACCACCACATTCGTCGTGAAGTTTTAAACATAGGTAAGTTTAATTCAGTCAATCTCAATTATATAAGCATATATAGTTATACATTTTCGTTGTTCTTGATGCTAACATCATATATGATGGAAACATGATATGAACTATTATAACCGAAATTCGAGAGGAAGTTAGAGTATTTAAAGGTTTACGACAACCATGTGTGGACATGGGCAAACAACATCAGAAGGGAAAGATAGGCTCAATCATACGATAAAGGTCGAAGATACGGACAAATGACAAGCAACCTTGTTAAAGCCAAAAATGGAGTACTAAAAGGGACACACCATCTCCCAATTGCAAGCTTAATGAGAGAGACATACTACATGTTAGATAAGGTTTGGAGCGATAAAGGGATGGAAATCAAGTCCATGATAAATAGAGAACAACGTTAGTCTCTCGATCTTGTGAGAAAATGTAATACAACATGAAGAAGTCAACCTCGATGATTGTTCACCAGTTCGACCGACTAAATCATACATTTGATGTTGTTGAATCCATATACAACAACAAAGAAGGACACAAAAAAATATTTCAAGTTGATATTTGAATTCGGTGGTGTGACTGAGGTCGATTCCAGGCATGGTGATATCCATGTGTCCATGTAGTTGCTGCATACATGTCTGTAGGGGTTGATACGTTCACCTTTATGGATGAATGCTTTAATTTACAGACGATAATAAAAATATACAGATGTGAGTTTTCACTGATCGTGAATTCACAATATTGGCCACCAGCATAGCATGAAGTATGGCTACCGAATCAAGAAATTCGTAAATAACTAAAAGGAAAACCTCAATCAACTCAAATCCATACTAGTATGGATCTTAATTATAGAGAAACAAGACAACCAAAGAGATGTAATTTCCATAGGGGTGAAGGACATTCAAAGAAAAAAATGTCCTAATTGACCAAGTTACATGCCTCAATAATTTAATATTTGCAATGTTTTAATCCTTTGTAATTTAAAGATGAACGTTTTATTATTCCATCTATTTGTAATTTGTAGATGAACGTTTTATTATATTTGTAATTTGTAATGTTTTAATATTTCAAATATTTTATTGTTGTATTCCATCTATTTTTATTTACGTTTTAATATTTCATCTATTTGTACTTAAAAACAAGCCATAAATGTCATTTATTCATGCATATAAAAAACGAAAAGTACATGAAATCATTATTCCTTAATTTTTGTCCATGTCGATGTGTCGTGGAATAATAATACCTTGGTGGATGTCGATTTCGTTGTGGCTTTGTAATTGAATGCGATCTTTCTCATCGTCAGTCACAATAGACATAGAAGCCAGTGTTGTAGAATAACAATCACCACTCAATTCTCCCGTAGGACTTTAAGTTGGCATAGTAGACATTGTTGTGAAAAAACAGTCACCACTTTGTTCTCCCGGGGGATTGTACATTGGCATAGTAGACATATAAGCAGTCATCTGTTAAAAATTCATGATGTCATCAATATTTTGGTCTCCCGTAGGACTGACACATTCATGTATGTATGCTTTCAAATAATAAAAAATTTGATTGTGTGATGAGCTACCATCGATTACTGGCTCCTTTTCCCATATCGCCATCGATACTACTGGAATCTTTCCCCACACAAACGGCCAAGGGCTTGAAGGGTGTTGTGTTACTACAGCTTCATTATAAGATGATGTCGCTTCACTACGAGATGTGCTTACTCTACTTGTAGATAATTCACTGCGACCACCATATTTATTTTTATAGTTGGAACATTCACTTCGTTCTTCGATCGTTGTCAAGTACGATCTTTCATTCGCAAGATAATATCTGAGGTATTCTGAATTCTCCCAATCAAAATCATCATCTTCAATGAGAGTGTGAGATGGAAATAATGAAGCTATGACATTCCACATATCAACAAAATGAGCATGTATGACTTTCCAATTACGTTCGAACTTGCCCCGTCTATCTACATCATGGAGATAATCATAATTCGCTGGAAATTGTGGAATAGGTTGGTGGAAGCTAAACTGCCTCAACACCCTATCTCCAAACTAGAAATCGACAACAAAAAAGTGAATCATTGGTGTAACAACACACTAGAGATTAACATCCACCACCAAATAATCTAGTACATCTATAATTATATCATCATTGTCGTATGGCCTCCAAATAAACTGTAAATATTATATATAAACGATTACACAACAAAGTAAATTATAAAATACATAATATGTGAAATTGTTTTACACTAACCTTGCCTTTTTTTCGTTGACCTTTGCAATATATGTCAATCATCTATCTAAACACTCTGACATTGTTTTACACTAACCCTGGCTTTTTTTTCGTTGATCATCTGTAAACAAATAATATGTGAAACTAACAAATAATATGCTAAAGATATTTTAAACTAAAGTAAATAAATTTTAGATTAAAATCAAAATATTATCTTTCAATAAGAGGAAAATGAATCAAATTTCGAGTAATCAATGTAAAAAAAGGCAATCGTTGCCAAGCCCACTCTTGTAATAATAGTAGGCATCCATTAACGTCTACTCTTTTTTTTACCATTTTCTAATAAGGAGACCTTGCAGAACTCACAATATGAAAATGCTAATATTGATGAACCACAACTATAGCTGGCAGTTTCCCAAAATTCATCCATGAATTAGAGATATTGTGTGCGAACCAGATTGCCATAACTATTGGCATCAATATCCTTCCAATGAGTTGTATGATATATGCTTGATCTCCACGCTTAATCTCCTCTCACGTACTTCATTCTTATACAATAACCTTTCATAACACTCTCGTTTGTTACTTTTCCAAGATATTTTAAACAAAGCTGCAGAATAGTGAAAACGCCATGTCTTCGTGACGTCAGATTTTTATTTATTTTTAAATGCCGAATAGTGGTGAGATTTTTTAATGAACAATGAAGACACCATATCTTCGTGGCGTCCTATTTTTTTATTCAAAATAATTTCTCAAAATTACTATAGATTTTGTCATAGATTGGAAAATAAAAATAAAAAACAATATTTAAAAAAAAACTGTAATATTTATCTAATTTACTCCTTTATTTTGTCTAGAAAGCAATCTAACTGATTTGAAGCCATAAACCAACTATCCATTTTTAATGGTAGTACGAAAATCATAGATGCTGGGGGCCCTAGCGAAATTTTCTAAAACAAAAACAATGAAGAATCGCCTTTGTTTAACATGTATAAAAAACAGTAATGATGAGTATGAATACAAAAAAAATTCTGATTACTCATTAATCCCCATTAACAAACACCTCAACTCAGTTAACACCTGGTCCCACTCTTGTGACCTTTCTTTCTTCAAATAACTTCACTTTTTCCCAGGAAAAAAAGAGAGAAATTTGATGGGAAATTACAGGTTTCGGTTCTCGGATATGATGCTCAATGCCCGGTTTTACAAGCTTAAAGACATGGGAAAACCAAAAACCATGTCCATTCTTCGAACAAACAACGCCAGATTTCGTCACCTTCATCATCAGTATCACAGCCGTCAAAAACCAAGCAGAATCACCATTTTCATCCCAGAAAATCTTACTACTTCACTAGAGAGCTTGTCCCCAGTGATGGATTCAATGTTTCTCCTACGAAAAATAACAAATCTTCAGCTTCCAATTTACTTGACCCGCCCAGAATATCAATCATCTCAAAAACGATCCAGGAAAAGAATCATCTAGGAAGCATGTTAGCTCCTCTGTTTCTTCCGGTTGTCTTTATCGTGCCACGCTCTGGACAAAGCCTGATTCTCCGCCGCAATACTCAGCTTCCTCCTCCTCTGACGGCGTCTCTCAGCCGCAAGAATTCAGGTCTGACTGCGTTATCATGACTCAATCGTTCGATAACATGGTTTCCTTATCGCATTCTTCTAGCTGCAAAGCCATGGATTCTGAACTCAAGGACATCGTCGTTGTCGATGACGGAAGCAACAAGAAATTCAACAAGCTGGAGGAGTTTGACAACTTTTCTGAATTTCAACTCCCTCGGATCATAACCAAGCCCGTTGAATTCAACTATAACAAGGAACAGAACATCGAACCAACAAATCATCGAAGGAGTTCAGCTAAATTTGAAGAAAAAAATGTTCGTAGTTCATACTTGGTGAACAAGAAAACGTGTCCGGGGAGGAGATTTTGTGTGAATTCTCCAGGGCTAAGGCTGAGAATTAACTCTCCGAAAATCGGAAGCAGAAGATTACAGGGTCATTCTCAGAAAAGCGTGTCATGGAGTCCGATTTCGAGTTGGAAGAGTCTGTCGGGTAGTTTCGCGGTGAAGTCGTCGTTCAATCCTCAGAGAGACTTCAGAGAATCAATGGTGGAAATGATTAGGGAGAACAACATCAGGGCATCAAAGGATTTGGAAGATTTGCTTGCCTGTTATCTTCTATGTTGCACGGGTACGATAGAGGATGGGCGTTTCAAGTACCCGAAACGTCCCAGGGACGTGGTACGTACCGGGGACGTGCCACAGTGATAGGGTACGGCCGAACGATACGAGGATGTTTCGGTGCTCGTTGGGGACGTTTCGGGGACGGCAGCAGCCACCACCGTGCGCACCTTGTCTTCTACTCTTCTCCACCACTGCGAAAATCTTCAGCGGCTGTCGCAGCAGCCACCACCGACCGACCAGGTGATTCTCCTCTTCTCCTCCTCTGCTCCTCTTCTCCTCTCTTCACTTTTTTCTCCTTCATTTTTCCGTTTGTTGCCTTCTATGGTCGGACACTTTCTTTCACTATTTTGTTGTTTCGGTTCACTATGAATGAAATCCCAAAAGTACCTGTTTGATTAGCTAAATTCATTCACTTTCTTCCACCCATTCTCGGGAAGGTCAAAATGGGGATAGTTATGTTGTTGATCTGCTTCCACCCATAAATCGGTTATCCGACCAAACTACTGTTAATGATGACTCATGGTTTAATAGGGCAAAAAAGAAAGAGTTATTGTTGGAGGATGTAGTTGGTGGTACTATTGGTTCTTCTACTGCCCAGCCAGGCATTGGAAGTCCTTTGTCGAGCAGTTCAAAAGGAAAGAGGAGTGAGATAGACCGAGACGAAAATGGACTTGGTAGAGAGGTTTTATTTAGAAATGGAAATAATAAGATTGGTTGACCAATATCCAATGTTAAGGGGGAAAGGAAATTAAAAATAAAGCCCAAGCAAAAAAACAAATCGCATTTACTTAACTGACACCTTTTGTCTGTAATATTCTCTTTTTAACACTCGTTGATCAATATTTTTCGAAGTAGCATCATTTGGCTGACGTGGTGCAAAGGCGTATCCCCGAGGATGCGCTTTCTCGGCATTATGATGACTTGGATGCCACGTGTGGAAGGCGCATCCCCGGGGACGCGCCTTCCATTAAATGTCATAAATGCTCCCATCCGTTTTTCTCCAACTACCCCTCCTCCTCCCCTATATAAACCCCCTCAACCCTCCCTCATTCTTCTCTTCTCTTATATAACTCAAATTCTCCAACAAATTAAAAGCAAGACTAAATTGATAAAATATGTAACTATTGAAGATTAAATATGTAATTATACTAATTTTATTAACTTATGCATCAATATTTTCTTTCAATATTGATAACAAATGACTAGATTTATAACATTTAAATAATTAATTGATAAAATTAATATATCGATAATAAAAAAATAGATATATAACAATACGTGTAATATTATAATTTCATACATTTAAAAAATACATTCGATAATTCTTAAATTATAATCGAAACACTTTACATAACATATTAATTATTTATAATAATAATAAAAATAAAATCTTTATTATTAAAAGAAATACCAACGTGGCATCTGACTCAGCAGAACCCAAATAGAAGGTGCGTCCCCGGGGATGCGCCTTCCACACGTGGCATCCGAGTCATCAGAATCCCATGAAAGCGCGTCCCCGAGGATGCGCCTTTGCGCCACGTTAGCCGAAAGAGTGCTACTTCGAGAAATATTAGTCACTGAATGTTAAAAAGAGAATATTACAGATAAAAAGTGTCAGTTAAGTAAATACGCCAAAAAACAACTCAACTATCTGTTTCTGTGAATGGCAATCTTGGCGAGATGTCGGAGCAACCCAAACTATCAATCCCCATATCAAAGTCAAATTGAATAACTACTACCGATGATAATGCCAAAGAAAAAGATGATTTTGGCCAGGATGTGTTGGATTTTATTATTCTAAAGTTAATATTGTGGTTTGAATCTTGAGATTTGACACTTTAATATTGTTATTTGTTTATGGATTTTATTGTTCTAAACTTAATATTGTGAGTCTTGATATTTGACTTTATTTATAATTTTTTACATCTATTTATAATTTTAAAATCATTTTATATGTCGTACCCTTACTGTCCATGTACCCTGTAATTTTAGAAATTATTGTTTCCGATCCCTGTCCCAGTATTCATCCCCGTATCCATATTAGTGCAACATAGGTTGTCTTTCCTTTAATTCCCATGAATATCATGGCCTTGTCATCAAGGTTTTCAAGCAAATCTGGCTTGATTTGAATCATGTCGGGTTCAAATAATTTATTCTAAAACATAATAACTAGATTCCTATAATATTAGGTTACTACTACTTCTTAAGGCATCAACATTGTTTGTCACACTTCAAGTTAGGGGTTAGATTTTATTAATTTTAAAGTGTCGAATTAAAATTGTAATAAGGAAAATTTTGAGGACCAAATTGTAAATTTTTTTAAAAGTTACAGCTCGGTTTTGGAACCTGTGGAAAGTTCAGGGATTTAACTCTAGATTTTACCATTTTCTGGTCAATAAAAAATAAACCCTCTCGGTGATATACCTAAAAAATTTCCCAAATTTTTCCTCAATTGAGCAACCCTACCCATCGCCCCTTCACCATCGATCAACTGTCGTCCGACCGTCGTGCCCGTCATCGCCCCAACCAAAATACTCCCCATCCTTGTTCGATCGAAACCTCTCAGCCAAATTTTCGAAAGGAGTCTTTATTTGCCGTGGAGACGTTGAAGAAGTTCGGTTGAAAACCCCCACCCAGTCGCTCGATTTTTCGCCGATTCCAGCCACCTTGCTCATCGATCCACCTCACCACCCTGAATACCGGACTCCTAGCTTCGTTTCGACCAAAACCCAACCGAAATCATCGTTTCATCGCCGGTTTTCGCCGTTCACTGTTGGGTAAGCTCGGTTTCTTTTGATTTAATTTTTGATCGATGTTTTGGTTGGATTATTGGGTTAATCTGAGTTAATTTTGGTGTTTGTTGGTGTTCCGGGTAATCGGTCGTCACCCTTGTTCATCACACGCGCCGCCACGTGCCACCGTTGCAACCGTTGCACGTGGGGCTTGTCGTCTAGCTGATTCTTCCAGAAGCTGAGTCAACTCGAACCGAGTTGACCATTGACTTTGACAAAAAAGTCAATTTTTTTTTTGAAAAAGTCATATTTTATGTTTTTTACATCCTGAATCCGAAGCTGAAATCTGTTTTGCCAAATTCGCACTCGGTAATCCATTTGTCAATGATTTATCTTCGGAATCAAATTTGGTTTTCCGATTAAGTTCAGTTTCTGACGTAAATTTGTTTGCTATGCATCCGAGACATTATGGGACTTGGAATCAAAGTTCGGGTGCAATCAATATGGTTTGTAAATCGAGATAATACATTACTACCTTCTTGCATGCTTTAAGAAACATGTTGGTATGGGTTGCATGTATGAATATTATTTTATCATTTAAGTATAATTAATTATTTCTGGGCTAGAATCGGATATGGTGAAAAATTAGTAAATTGAATATGACTCAGATGACTCGTATAGGAAATTGGAAGACCTATATGGAATTAAATTACAAGTTCTAAGATTAAATGGTAAAGCAATCGACATCAGGATATGTAAATTTTGTTTTATCTCCTTAAAGGTTAAATGCCAAAGGTGCTCATATGAGAAATTATAACAATACTTCTGTTAGGTATATTTATGAAAATACCCTCATATTGTAAAAAGGACAATATTCATCCTTAAAAATGGAAAAATAATTCTGAAAAATATATATTGATCCGAAGAAACTACTGATGTACAAGGAAAAATGCTAGTTTTGCTTAGAAAATCATAGATATCCGATTTTTAACCTTCAAGATGGTAAAAGATTTAGATTTGGTGATCTTTGGACAAAATCACCTGATAAATAAATTACTAAATTGATTCATACGTTTGAATCGAAGAAAATGATTGAATACCCTTGACCTATAAAATGACCAAAATTCCCCTAGAGTGTAAATGACCTAAGTTAACCCCAAGTCACAGAATGATTGAATGCATGCTCGTCTCCCTAAGATCCATTCAACGATGATTTTGAAGATGATTAGTTCGACGAGAGTTGTTAGTATTAAAGTGTGAATACCCTTGAAGTGCATTGATTTGACCAGTTGATAGGTATCACAGTGCTGGGATTTGTTCAGTTCGAGTTAATTTGATATCCTAATAAATCGACACAAATCGTAACTACCATGAATCATCATTTCTCCCTTATTGGATCAAATTACTAAGAACCCTCAAAGAACCTAATGTCCAAATTGCCCCTGATTTCCTAAATAATGAAATCACAAGTAACTTTAATACAAAGGATTCTGAATACCTTTATGATTTCATAGTGTCTCCAAAAAGTATCGGAAAACTATATGATCTTGATAAATCATGTCCCGAATAACTAATGAATATGTCAGCTATCAAACCCTTTTATAGGGATCATATTTCTGAATTTAATCAGTTTACAGAAGTTTCATGGCTCCCTACCTAATAAATATCAAGTACCTTCGAAAAATAATTGGATCCTCTAGTGTGTTCCCTATGTGTTATATGATTGGGTTTATCTGTTCTGAAATGTGTTTTACTGATATTTCTGAGTTACTAAAGTTTTAAGTATGCATGTCAGATTCATGATCTTCGGATATCGTTTCTATTGAATGGATATGTCTAAACTCTGATTTTCTGTTACCACTGGTTACTGCCTGGAAATTTTTTTTGTTCGGGGTACTCTAGGATCTGGTATGAAGTCTCTACAGGTTCAGCTTGATCAAACTGGTAATTCCTCACATTGGTTCAGACCGATTGAACTGGTAATTCCTTACGAAAGGTTTAGCTCGATCAAATTGGTAATTCCTTATATGACTGGTATTCCTTACGAATCTAAGGTGACCCTTGGGTGGGCTCCTAGGCCTAATGGGCTTAGTGGTAAGACCTTATGGACCATAAGGAACTCCCTTACGGTGACACCTCATCTATGTGCTTTGAGTAAGTCCTTATGGACCTGAGGGCACTCCCCTCAGGTGAGCACCTCAGCTTCAACTAGGGTAAGACCTTATGAACCCAAGGTGTTCTCTTAGATTGGCACCTATGTCTAATGGGCCTAGAGTAAGTCCTTATGGATGTAGTTCTAGGGAACTGCATATTCGCGTTCGATTGGAGGATTTTACTACGGTTTTAAAAATATGTTTTAAACTGTTCCTATTTTAAAATGATATGTATTTTTCAGTGGTTTTGTGGGAACACACTAGACATCCTATTCTGATCTTCTGAACCTAGTCCTCCGAACGTTTCCTCTGAACAGTAAGTTTCATGTCTTTTACTACCTAAAATATCAGTGGGACCTCAGCTCATCACAAAAATCTGTAGATGTTCGAATCAATAAGGAAAATTTTGCTTGCTTATTATTTGCATGTCCTTCAGCATCATTTGGTAGTTCTGTATTACTGATCTTCCCAAAGCTCATTCTGTTACTCACTATTTCAGGTTAAATTGTTCTAGTTCAGCTATCGACATCAGTATTGGAGTTCCACCGGTGTTACTTGCGGAGTACGGTGCATGTGTTTAGGGGGCAAATAGGTTGTATTCTGTTTTTATATCCGAGTCTGAAACGTGCATGATTTTAATTTTGTTTGTATTATATGAATGATTTTATGAACTTGTATTTTAATTATAATTTGTTTTATGATTTTACACGTTTTAACAGAAATTTTAAGTTTTTTCGGGATTTTTACTGTGGGTTGTTCCGGTGACCCTAATGTGACACCTCAGATCAAATCGGGTCACCCGCATCAATATGTGTGTGTTACATTGTTTATAAATCAAATTTACATATCAAATTACAGCCGAATAAAAGTTAAGATATTCACTTGGTTGGATCTTTTGGTTGCTCTGTTTTGTTCTTTCATCACCCTCTTACCTGTTGAGACATGGGATCATCTCAAATATTTGGATCATGCTATTTGATTCGTAGTAGCACGAACATGGATAAATATAATATTTTATATTAGAGAATAAATTTATAAAATTTTAAAAGAGACGAAATATATTATTAATAAAAAATTTAAAAAATATTTAAAATATAAAATTTTTTGAAATTTTTAAGAACTATCCTCGCCACTAAACATAAACTAATTGAGTAAAAATTTGGATTCCAACATCATATATTATCAATGATGCTTTTTTATTGTTCTTTTAGAATAATTTTTTTATTTAAAGAGAGAAGGAGAAAAAGAAAGTGTTGGTGCAAAAAGATGTAGAAGCATATTTTTCTTTACTAGTGATTCAGTCAATACCTACTTGTAAAGAATTGATCTCTCAACCTCTATTTTTTGAGTTATTTTGTTAGCCCATTTCGTTCAAATTAAGCTACCAATTTCTAGAATATTAGTTCATGTTAAATGTATGTTCGAAAGATAAATATAAAGATTATTTCATATGATTTTTATTGATTTTGAAATTAAATATACTATTAAATTCTTTATGTTAGAGTAAACATATACATTAATAACATTTTTTTTTGTTTGGAGTGGACATAAATAAAATTTTAGGGTAGATATCATCAATAAAATAAACAACTAACATAAAAAATTCGAATTTCAAAATGGACACGTACTCAAGCTAAAATACATTTCCATCTATCACATTATTTTTTCATCCTCAAAAGAATTTCTAAATCCTCCACTAGCCTATCATACCCTAATGTCATTATCATCATCATTAAAATTATACATAAGGAGTATTTATATTGTGATAAATATCACCCAATTGTATATATACATGTTTACTTTCGCCCTGCTTTTTTTTTAAAAAAAATAAGACTGTAAAATTAAAAAATAAAATATAATTGAGAATAAAATTTTAAAATTTTATTATTTTTATTACATTTTTATTACATTTTTATACAACATCTAAATTCTTATTATAATCTCGTTATATAAAAATAATTGAATTTAAAAAAAGTGCTTGCATTCTCTCTTAAATTCCCTGTCATTAATTTAGATTATATACAAAATGTTTTAAAATGAACTAATCAAGAGGGTTAGCCTATTGGTTTGGGCGTGCTTTCTGTTGCATCAAGTCCCAGGTTCGACACTCTTTGGAAACAATTATATTTTAACGTTTCTTGCTTATCAAATAAGGCATAGACATGTATTGATTTCTAACTGATTACATCTTTGGGAGGGGATTTTATAGAACCCTCCCTTCGAAAATGGAAAAAAAAACCTTTTATGATTTTCTTTTGTTTTTGTTGTCTGTTTCGACTTTTGGTGGTCTGACCGAGGAGGGGAGGGCTGTGACGGTGACGTGGGTGGCAAAGGGGTAAAAATTTTTACCCGAGGCTCATTTTGGCCGTTTCTGGTGACCGGCGTAACTCGCGGCGGCGGCGGCAGACCTCAAGAACACGAGAGGGCTCGGGCGCGTGGGAAACAAAGGGTCGCGTGTGGGCACGTGGCGACAGCAGGAGCAGCTGAAGAGTTTAGGGTTTCTGCTTGGGTTCTAGGCCAGCGGTGCCTGTTAAATTTTTTAGGTTTTTAATTATTTTGGGTCTGATGTAATTTTTTAATATAATAAAATAGTGATCGAACCCTAAAAATGGTGATCACACACATGGATAAAAAATTTTGAAGATTAACTTTTGTTAAGCCGAGTAAATCAGGTCTATTTTGATTTGTTTCGTGAATGTTTTCCATCTCTTTAAAATTGATCTTAGTGGTTCAAAATGAGCATCTACAATAATTTAGCGTTCCATATCGATCCCCATAAAAAGAAAGAGAGATTAATGGCTTCTTTGTTGTTACTTCTCAAAATTGTCACCTGATTTGAAAAGTTTTTCTTGTTTAAATCATGAAACAACAATGACAAATGCTAAGGACTAATTCCACAAATCCTGGGACAAGAACCGTATCTATCTGTGTTTACAGTAGCAGGATTAGACATTACAAAACCTGGGACAAGAAATTAAACTCAAAACAATGGCATAATTACACAAATCCTATACGTTAACAGCTCACTATATAAAGTACATCGGCTACAACGACGAGGACGATTAAACCTGAAATAAAATCAGTGAGAATGTACAAAATGCTACCTTTCCAACCACAGAAAAATATTACCAATGATAATCAAACTCCATACAAAAAAGAGCTTTGGAAATGGCATTCAAAGTAACCATGTACTCGCACAAGCTGATTGCTCAACCTCAGGCTGGTTTCCTGCCCCCTTTGTTAGTGTTAACTTGTGTTTTTCAATAGCGGTCAGATGGATAAAGGTGGGAAATCTTCTTCATTCTTTAAATGGAATGATTGTGCAAGTACCCTGCGTGTTACAAGAGAAAAAGCTCAGATAGATTTATACCCTGCAGCATACGGTTTAATATGAAACTCCATTCTCAAACCTGTTCTGATTGATGCTCATAGCTGATTTTGGCCTTGGCATTCCTATTTGTGGATGACTTGAATTTTGAGCATAAGGAGAACCTGGATTTTGTTGTTTGCTGCTTTCCGGAGAGCCTGAACCCAACGGTAGGGGCCCAATTGACCCAAATTCTACAACCCTGTCTGGCTGATGTATTGGGCCACTGGCACTACGGGATAACACTCTTTTAGAACTAGAATGGCGAAACTCCGAGGACCCAAATTTTTTACCACCTTGATTTACTGACAGCACCTGTGCTAGCTCATGGCTGCTTCTCTCTGGTGAACTTGTTTCTAAGGGTGTAATGGAATGGCCATTGTTACGAGGAGACCTTGTTGGTGCAGGGTTCCGTCCCCTTGATGTCAAGGATCTATCCCAGTAATGGTTCTGCAAAAAAAAAATTATTAATATAAAACACACTAAGACAAGGCCCAACAAAGAAATTTAACCACCTCCCCCCTCCTCCAAAAAAAAAGTGACACCAGCAAAATTTTAGAAACCCAGTCCAAAGGCTTAAATGAGTATATACCGCATTGGGATTAGGAAAGTATGTCCCTGTTCCTCGAGGCTTTGGCATTTCATCCATTCCAAAGCTTGCAACATGTAGCATTGGAGGGTTCACGGGGTAGTAGGCTTGCCCTGCAACAACACCATTAGTGTTCATTGGGGAAATTGCATTTTTCCACTGCACAGACTTCCGTACTACATCCCATGAATTTTTGCCCTGGAACTGGGAAACCAAAGGTGAGGAAATTGGAGGAACAGATGCACTTAAGACGTAGCCATAGAACCAGCGACCATAATTCAAACTCTGAAAGTGAGAATCATAATCCCCACAGAGATCTGACAACGAGCTCAAAGCTTCCTGAATTCCAGCAGCAATAAAGGAAGTTGGATAACCAGAATATGCAGGATATAGATCCTCAGATGACCAAGCAGAGTTTGAAATCAAAGGATGGTGCTTTAATCCAACAGGGGACTGAACCCCTTGACTATTAACCAACTGCTTCTCAATGAGATCACCATGTACATTAGTGCCTATCTCACCAGTTGCCGGAAGAATACCGGAAGTCATGTTCTTTTCAGAAAAGCTAGAACTTTCTGGCTGTTTGCTTTCTTCATTTCCATTTCTTATATCTCCATTATCCAGAGATGAGCTAGAAAAATAGAGATGAGGTGCATGCCATACATTATCCGATGAAGAAACACTGCCCTCTGCATTTGGAGAGCAAGGTTTCTTTGCATCATTTGAAATCGCAAGACCTTGAATAATGGAGGTTGCCAGGTCTTCAGCGTCATTAGACGGTTTGATTCCTGAAACACTTGTAGAATTTCTAGAACCTTGCAATTCATTACAGGTTCTATTTAAATTTGTTTCCGCCAAAGAAACATTACCATTACTGACTTCGTTCAATGATCCCTCATTATCAGATAGGTAATTCCCAATCATGGCACTTGAATTTGAAGATTCTGATTCATAGAAGGTTTGGTCTTGAACTGAGTCCGCACCTGAAACTGATGATGTAGCACCAAATCCACAGAATCTGGACAACGGGGCAGGATCTTGAGCATCAGGCCTCTGTCCACTTCCATGCCTATCCAGAGTGTTTGAGAAAAACTTATGAAGTTCTTCTGCTATGCTTTCTTCTGCCTGGGTAAGAATGCGCCCTAACTTCCGAGCCCCATAAGTGAAAGCACTTCTTATACGAAAAAAGTTCCCTACAGAGGAAAAGGTAAATTATAATTGACATTTTATCCCTCAATTAATTCAAGAATCACCAAACAACCATTAAAAGAGGATAACAAGAATGTCCCTTTGTCACATTAGCTTAGAAATATTTCTGCCATCCTCAAGACAAAAAATTTGAGTTTCAAATGAAAAGAATGCAGGAATTTGTCAAGTGATTCTACCTTTGCTCACACTACGACCAAGATTGTTGTTTTCTCTTAAAGGATCTACTATATTTAGATGTTTTTGTGGAAATGTGCGTGAATTAGTCTCGAATCCTCTTGGTGGAACTGAGAACATTTCCACACATTCCTTCAGAAAATCATCGCTAAGAAGTAAATCTCCCCCACCATTTTCAGGTGTCTCAACTGAAAAAAAAAAAAGGGAAACAGAGAAAAGGACCAATGACATAAGCAACTTAATCATGTATCAAGTAGAATACAATCGGGAATGAAAGCAAAATGAAGTTGCTCACCCACAAAATCTGGCAGGGATGATATATGGATTGGACCATTCAAACTGATGCAGTAGTTTTCCCAATCAAATTTGCTGAAGTAATCCAAAAATTTATATAAAACCTGTAACATGTTCAATCACTTACATTGATGTGATCAATTAGTTTACACTGCCAAAATTTCTGCAGCACTCACCGCTAAAGGACCATCTAGTGATGAGTGGAAAAGATGGAAAATGTACAGCACCAAAGTCTCCAGAGCATAGGTAGAAATCAAGCCATGATGAGCCCCAAGAATACGACTCTCATAGTAGCACCAAGCTTTTATTAGTATAATACTGCGTTTAAATAGATGATCTTTTCCAATAAGACGGTCAACCTACAACATTACTAGGAATGTTAGCTTGAAAAAGGAAAAAAAAAGACGCATTCTGCTTAATACCGATATGATACAGCCACCCCCATAACAGAAACCTTATATCCGTATCTAAATTTAACCTACCTGCTCAAGAAAGCACAAGGTACATAGCCCCCCTAACTGATTAAAAGAGATGTCTACCACAATATTCTGCACTAGACACTTCACAAGCTTTACCTGCCACCAAAGAAACCAAATTTTAAAATGAACGACAACATATGATATCAAATGATTTCTGAAATGTACATTGTAAAAATATAAAATCATCTCAAATCATAGCCATGAAGATGATATCTTATAATGCAAGATCAAATGACTATACAACCATTTCCACTATGCCTACCAATCAAATCTGGGATGATAAAGAAAACTATGGTATAGTCCATTCCTAGAAAAAGAACCACAGATTTTGAAAAGGCGATGGACACACAATAATATGTATAATAAGATTAACTTCAACCACTCTACATCACAACACTATAATCTGTTCATGCACAATCATCTTTTTAATGAGATATTTAACTAAAGCTTGGTAAAAGTCTCTGCAAAACATCCACCCTTCAGACTTGGTTACAGTTTAACTTTTAACCAAACATTTCCTATGTCACAGTTTCAACTCACCCAACACATCATTAGAGATATTAACAATGCCCCAGTATTCACTGTTACCCTAAACAATTAACAATAAAATGATGCATGGCAGAAACAATTATGTCACTGTTCTCCAAATTCTGGACATATAATTGCAATTCGTACTTGATAGTAAACTTAAGATCTGTAGACTACAAATAAGAAGCAGACAAATGCTGACAAAGCCTAAAGTGAAACATATTATATTATAGCAGTCTTTACGCACATAACACTGAATTAGAGAAAATCCTTCATAGGGATGGCTTATTTATATCCTCCATCTTAGCATAGACATCATTTAGGCCTCGTATTTTACAGAAAAAATATTCATCAAAATGACAGAGAAACATATGGATGCAAAATTCTTTTGTGCTCAGGTATCCATGTAATAATGAGGCTAAAATAAATGGTCAAGGTTGGGAGATTCAAAATGAAAAAGGATGTAAATGTCAAGAACAAAAATAAGGAATTAAGTAAACCTAATATAAACAGGTTAGTGTCTTACACATGCAGAAAAAAGATAATTTCACTAAGCAAAGATCTGTAGAAACATATTAGGAAGTTAAAAAACCTCAGCCCGAATCAATTGGACATCCTTCACCACAAACTCTGCAGCTCTGTTATGGTCTCCTCTTTCAAGGACAGAACATACATCATTGGCCAGAGCCTCCTCAAAGTTTAGGCCACCAAAGGCTGTCAAATCAATATCTCCATCAGGAAGATATGTCTTCAAGGGCACTGACCCAAATGGAAATACCTGTAACAAATATATGATAAATGATAAATATCTATCTAAACTGGTCACTAATTATGTATACATTCATGATCACGGCAATAAATAGATAAATAGGGGGGAAATGAGACATATATCACCACAGATACTATTGGAATAAAATGTTTATATTCTGTCATCAACAGCCATATTCCTTTCAACTGTGAATATTAAACAATAATTTTCCCAGCTGATCGTTACACTCCAACATAATTGCAATTAATTGCTACAAATTTAAGTTTAAACATCACCTTGATAACGTAGTTCAAGGTAAATGGAATGAGTTTGACCAAAGTTATCAAATAATCAAAAGCATTCTATTAATGGCCTTATCTGCCACCCTCCCAGTCGATAAGTAATCTGCTACCTATGATGATCAAAACATTAGAAAATGAACATGACAAAGGCTCGTCCATGCAATAGAAAACAAAAGTTCCAGTTGGTCCGTCAATAACAGCAACAGCTATTAGGCCTTATCAACAATTTTCATCTACCAAGGGCGTTTGTTACCACAGTAAAGGAGCTCCAATTCGAAGGAAACCACTTACAACCAATGAGGTTCCTGAAGCAGGAACATAAACAGCAGCCACCATCATTCTTCAATTTAATTTCATTAATAAGTAAAAATCCCACTTCCTCTTAAAAAGGTATTCATGTTCCTATTACTACAAACTGCATAAGAGTTCCCTTTAAGTTCTAATCCATTCTAATAGTATTATCCAAGTAAAAAATAAATACAGTATTAATCTCCAACTAAATCACTAATTAGGCAATGTTAATGTTCTATCACTTAAGCATAATAAGACAACAACATATTATTATGATAAATTGATAATTAAAAGCTTAACTAATGTTTGATTATCTGACCTCGCAACCAAGATAATTCTTAAGTAATCGCTGAACGTAATCGATAACCGCTTTTCTTCGGTCTTCTGAAACAACAGTTGGTCGAACCTGGGCTATGATCCCGTCCGTCGCTTCCTCAGCCTTTTTCCAATACTCAAGTGCAATCCCCGCTTGATTCGATGATGAAGACGATGACGATGAAGACCTCTCTTCCTCGACGACGCCGTTTCGTTCAGGCGACCAATCACGGAGATCGCCCATCAAAACAGCCCACTCTCCTCCCAATCGGAATCAATTTTCCCGCCTCACGCCCCAACAGAACGTCCGATCAGTCACGCGCTTCGATTCGCCGACGCACTAATTCAACGCCTTCTCCTTGATCCAAAACCCTTTGGTATTTGCTTTTTATTTTTGGATATCTTGCACGATTATCAGGGTTTCAATAGAGGGGTGAAAGGAGCAAAACGCAGGAGAAATTACGATAAAACGACTGTGAAACTGTGGATTCTATTCTTTCCAAGGGAAATTTTGATGGTGGCAAAAGGTAGAATCTAAAAGATTTATTTTCTTATTTTCTTTTTTTTTTAAAGATTTTGTCGATTAATGTTCAAAATTTTTCTTTTTGTAATTACCTTTTTATATTTCCTCCGTTTCGTAATTATTGTTGTTCATTCAGAATTAAATATGATTATTAATATTTTTACTTTTAACCTCCTAGTTTTGTTAATAATACATAAAATTAAAAGATTGTTAATAAAAGAATATCTTGATTGTAATTGGCTTAAATATAAAATAACTACACAAACTATATTGATTTTCACGGATAGATGTATAAAATATTTGTTGATTCATCCCAGTGTTTAATGTTTCAAACATTATTGTTTTAGGTGCTTGGACCATCCAGGCGTCGACGACGTTAGTTTCTTCTATTAAGTGACACATGTTACAATTTGGTATTTTTGAAATTTTTATTTTTTAGAAAAAAATTAAAAATATATTTAAAAAACCTAAAATTTTAAAAAATCTTAAAAAGCTATCCCAAACTTTAAAAGCCCTAAATCTAGTCCCTCTAACCATGCCTATCGTCGTTGTTGTCAATTGGACTTCCACCTGATTGTGCCTCTACCGAAGACATGTTCCCCAACGAACAATCATCATAAGAGTGACGAAATCGCAACGAAGGCAACCCAAAATCACCTCTGACGAATGCGAAAAACGACGACCATCGCGAAGCCCACGACAATCCCACATCAAAGACGACGTCGTACGACTATAAAGATGGCAAGGGAGGTGTCGAAGGTGGTGGTCGTGGCCGGAAACGGAGGTGTAGTCATGGTTAGGATTAGGATTGTTTTATGGATTTTGGGGTTTTTGGGTAATTTTAGAAAAATATGGCTTTTTTTATAAATATAATAATTTTTATTTTTATATTATTTCAAATTTATCGGATTGTGACATGTGTCAATTAACAGAGAAAATTAACGTCATTGACGGATCAGGCACCTAAAATTGTAACGTTTGAAATGTTAGGCACCAAGATGAGTAAAAAAATACTTTATGCCCCTATTCATGAAAAGTAGTATAATTTGGACACTTATTTTTATATTTAAGCCATTTTAATTACATCTGTCATAACGAAAAAAATATCATATCAAATATTCAATTTTTTATAGGATAAATTACACCCATGACCACCTAATCATGAATAGATTTTATCTTAACCGTTAATCTTTCAATTTTATCAATTGAACCATTTAAAAATTTTAATTCAATTTATTTTTTTCAATATTTACATATTTTATTAATTTGGTCATAATTTTAATTCAATTTAATAAATATAATCTCTAGTGAGATGGTCACCACCTGATTGATAGGAAAATATATTTAAATTTAAAATTTAAATAAATTTTATAATTCTTTTAAAAAATTTAATAACAAGTCCCATTTATTATAATAATTTAATGCCCACGTGAAGCTCACTCATCGAGGTCCATTAAAAAAATATCCAAGGTAAACTATTTCTGAATAAAAAGTGAAGTACCCTATTGGGCCAATTAATTTACCTGCATATAGTGTTGGGCCAAAAAAACCGATATGTTTTTTTATGCTCAAACAGGCCGAATCTATTTCTGAATCCCCCCTAGTGCAAAATCAAATCACATGAATCGAATTGGTCCAATATGAAATAGACCAAACTAAATCAGTTAAGCTGAGCTGAGCCAAGTTGAGCTAATGACTTTGACTGGCGAAAACTTTTTCTGTTAACCTTAACCATGATATTTTTCATGCATTACTACTATTTTTTGCGTTCTATTTTTCCAAATTCTAACCTAAAAGTCTTGAATTGAGTCTGTTAACACGAGCATGCATTTGTAATTTTAGCATTCTATTTTATTTAATAGATTTTGAGTATAGAATTGATTTAGAATTTTATTTTAAAATGTTACCCATGTTTTATTTGATTGAGTACAACCAAATCCGCTAGTGCAATAGATCCGTATGATTCTTGTACTAAAAATATTACTCGTTTTAGTACCGTTACCGATTTCGATAGTCATATCATTTAGTAGACTTTTCTATTACACCTCTCAACTTAATATATGGGTATTCATACTAGTGTTATATTATTATTATTATTATGTTTTATTTAATTTTATTTATCTAAATCGTCTTGACTGTATGATTGCATTACATATTTTTAAAAGAACAATAATTTTTTAATTATTGTCAATTCAGTGATATGTGCATGTTTGAAGTTTTAAAAGGATTTCATATTTTAAATAAATTAGATTATTGTTTTATCGTAAATATATGCATATTTATTTTGTACTGTTATGAAAATGGTTGTTAATTGAGGAAGTATTTCAGTCTTAGTTCATATTAGGTAATATAAGTTTTTATCGTAAATTCCTCTGCTTTGTACATATGATAAGCCATTATATTATATGCAGAAGATAATTCATTATCGAATATACATATGGGTGTAATAATCTAGAGAATTTACACATTTTTTACTATCAGATAGGGGTATCAATCATGTTTTTAAAGCCTATATTTTGAATAAAATTTTACTGATACTTTTAACATATGTTTTTCTTCACCTTAAGGAGCACACTAATGTTTCTCACTTCTGTATTTTTATGTCTCTTGTTTATTTTGATGATATGAAACGACCTTATTGATTAAATATTTACTTATTATTTTATATACATCTAATATAACTGCTATTTTACGTACATAATATTTATATGATTTTTTATATTATTTTATTTATAAAATGTTATATATAAAATGTAGTAATTTATTATCAAATATTATATATAAAATGTAGTAATCAAATATGAAGTTTGTTCTAGTGGTTTAAATGTGTATGATCTTTTATCCAAACCTCGTTTCGATCCTCACTTTATTTGCTTTCCTTTTTCCTTCCCTTCGATATATTTTTTATTTAATCAGATCGTGATATATGTCATTATATAATTAAAATTAAATTTATTAAATTAAATGAGAATTATGATTAAATTAATAAAATTATATAAATATTAATAACTAAATATGTAATTGTTCTAATTTTTTAACAACCACGTATGCTCCTTCATTAAATGTTAACATATGGTGACTTGATTGGTAATACTTATACAGATAAGTGATCTTATTAACAAAATCAAAAGATCGGTTGTCAAAATAGAATCGATCCATAGTTATGTGGTCATGACAGTGATTTACCGCTAATTATTGGACCAAAGTGATAAATGAAAAACTTTTGGCTGGGTCAATTCGATCGAAACAAAATTAGAAAAAAAGAAAACAAGTGTTTGGAGTAATTTGGAATTCTGCTGGAGTGGAAAAAGCGCAGACGAGAACATTGGCAGGAAAATGACGTCGCTGCTTCTATTAATTTCGGTGTTACTTTGGCTTCCTTCAATCTCCGTTGCTTACAGACCTGGGGACATCGTTCCTATGAGCAAGATGGGTCAATACCATTCCGTCAGTTCATTTTTTTCTTTTCCTTTTTTCTATTAGAGATGTTAGCTATTCTTGAAGCTGACATCTTTGAATTTTGTTGATTTCAGTCTAGAACTGTTTGGCATGACGTGATCGGAAAACATTGCCCGATCTTTGCTGTTAACCGCGAGGTATCGTTATTCTTCGTTTTCCACCTCCATTTTTTAGTTTCTTTTTATGAAAATTTCCATTTATGTGTAAATTATTTTCGCAGGTATTAATTCCTATAGAAAAGCCGACTGGTTACACGGGAGCTGATCCCTATAAAATGTATGTTCAAATTTATGGTTTTATTAATTCGATCTCTCTCTTTGCTTTAGTTGCAACTGTTAGGGTTTCGTTTATTCGATTAATTCAATTTCTCAAAATTAAGAATGAAATATTTCGAGTCCTAAAATGTCGTTTCATTCAGTTTTTTCTAATAGGCGTTTTGCAAAAACGAGTGAGATACAGACCTTGGCTTTAGCTTCCTGGACCCATTTTCTCGTATATTCTCATGAATCTCATCCTTAGCTTTCCACTCCTATGATGCTCCATAAACTGTCTAATGTTAACAGTTTGTCTTAGCAATTCTCTTTTGCTTCTTGTTTTTAGACTTCATAAATTCATTGATTAAGAATTTATTTTAGTAATTCATGTTTTATAATGTTTAACTTGTGTCTAGATCATTCCAAGTTGGGAAGGAGAAGTTTCTTGTCCCATGGCTTTTTCTTATAAATCGTAAGAGTTCTGAAGTTCCAATGATTGACATGCATTTGGTAAGATATTTTTGTAGTTTTTACCCCTTTGCTTTTGGATTTAAATTTACTTCTTTTGGTTTCTAACTTTACGTCATTCAGAGGTACTCAGGTGGTGATTTGCATGGTGTAACTGCTAAAATTGTGGATATGCCTCATCATTGTATGTAACCTTATCTATATGCTTCAGTGTGGTACTTGTTTTCTAACAAATAAAGATACAATGTTTCCAGAGAATTTGTGGTCAAATTTGTTCTTGTATCAGGAGAGTTGTGAGATTTATTTCTCTTGGAAATTGATTCACATCTTTGTTGTGTTATGCATTTGTGCATTTGTGAACTGTATTCAGAGATTTCTTCATATTCAATCATTTTAGAGTAGCATATCCAGTGCGTCAAACATATTATAACTTTTTGTTTTATTTATTTTCCTGTGTGTTTTCTGGGAACTAATTATGTTTTATCTTCAACAGATGTTGATATTCATCCAAATATTCGTAAACAATTCTGGGATCCTCAAAATTGGCCAAAACATGTGCTTGTCAGATATACCTGGTCAGTTTGTTGTTGAAATCTCTCTCTCTCTCATTGTTTGTCTGGTTTTGAATTTAGTCTGCCTTTAAGTTTTAAGAGAAGATACTTTGAAAACGATATTATCATTTAAAGCAATTGGGGACAGTTCTCTGTTGTAGCTTAAGTGCTTGATAATACCTGGCTAATAATAACCTCTGAAAATATGAGTTTTGCATGGGAGGCTGCAACTAAACCTTCCTTGCTATGGATTTGTTTAGGCATTATTCAGATAGTTTTAGAATATTGATTATTCTTAGGATCCCTTAGAATGGGTAAAATAACTAAATACCTAAGATGTAAGGTTAACTTCAATATTACCTATTTGAAATAAGATGCACATAAGCTTCCATTGCTTGTCATAAATTGTGATATGGTTGTGACGGTGTCATATGACAGGGAGGAGCAATCAGAGATAGATGTGACCTCTGGATTTTATGTTCTGTTTGGATCAGGTAAAAAGTTAACACACACTGTATAAGTCAGTGGATCTATTTTTTATGCTTCGTACGACTTGTATATTTTAGTTCCTAAAACAGAAAATTGTTTAGAATGCTAACATTTCCAACGCCATTTTTTTAAACATTTTCATGGTACTCTTCATTACATAGGATTCATTTAAAATGAGTTCTTCGCTGTATTTGTTTTATGAATGCGAGGAACCTTTTCCCCCTTTTTAAAAGTGCATATCAGTGTTGTCAAGGGTGCAAGAACCCTCAGGCACAATGCACAAAAGATGCTTATATAAGCGTGGTGCAATATGTATACTCTTGTGTCCTTGTATGTCTATATGCATGTATGTATATGTAAAATAAGCTTAGGATATATAATTATGATAATAAACCATAAAGAAGGATCCCGTTTATCTGCAAAACATGAAATTGTTTGTGTTGGCCAATAAATATGATTTTCTTATGTTATCATATATGTTGTTAGATTCTCAAGTATTGAGAAGAGAGTTTGATACTATCCCCCTCCCCATCTTACTTGTAAAGGAACGTACCAATCATGTGCCTCACTTGAAAGGGTTTGAGGCGCTTCTGTCTTCTAGTCTTAACACACAAGGCGTAGATGTGCCTTGACAGCATATATCAATCTCAGATGCATGTACTCACCCTCTGCAAGCCATACTATTATGATCCTAATAGGAGTGCATCACCTAATCCTTGACGAGTGTCACTTTGCTAATGGGCAAACGAAGATTTGAATGATAGATTAATTTGAGATATTTATTTACACTAATTTTCATGTTTTTGCGTGAACAGGGCTGATGCTATCATTTATTCTTTCAATCTACATCTTGCAGTCATCAAGGGACAAATTAGCAAAGTAACATTTCATCCCATATTTTTTTTCACATTTTTTATGCAACTAAAATTAATAGATTTCAACTGAAAGGGTATATGGTGATATATCTATGTTTCTTGTATCTCCTGAATGTTACATGTTTTTTTTCTTCATTTTTCCCAGGTTCGTAATGGAGACGGTTGTGGAAAGCAGCATGCCCGGAGTCGGAGTTGCAAAGGTTGAGTGATTCTTCAGTTTTGATAGATTGCGTGATGTGAATTATGGCAAGGATTTTTGGAAGCCCCCACGGGGCATTGAAATGGATACAAGTAACTTTTCCTGATAATGAAAAACCTTCAATGCAGATCATGAATGCATATAGCATTGTCCTAAACCAATATAACAATTTCATGCATAAATTCAAGATAAATACGAATTTGGGTTTATCCCAATATCTTTTCTAAGAGAAGGATTATCGTAATATTAGAGATCATTTCCAGCATTTCAATCATTCTCTACAATTAAAAGGAATAATTAAAGTAATATTAGCTAAGTTAAGCTCACATGAAGGATTATACAAGAATTGGATTATATTTATATTTTGATAGCTCAAATACCGTTGCAGAATGGCCGCCAAAACAAAAAGAAAAACTAGTCATGTGAAGACCATACAGAGTGCTAAATTAAATAATTTTCTCATGTACTTTAAATTAGTTTTTATTATCTTCGATTTGACTGATGAAGATAATTTTTTTCATTAGTAGCAACCTCGTAAGTTTCAAAACATCTAATATTTTCATTAATGGCAATTAAGTAGCTTATACACAAGGAAAAGGATTGATTTTCTTTTATGAAATGATGATATAACATAAAATTATGAACTGATTTTGAGTTACCAATAGTTATAGGCTTTAGTGCTATACATTGACAAAAGTTATCATGCTCAAAAACACATTTCCTACACACCTATACCTCAAACATTAGAATTTTTTTAAAGGTGATAGCATATGCTGAAGAACTGGTTGGTCATCTTTCGTACAAAGATAGGAGGGGCTCAGAGCCCTTCCTACAAAGATGGTCCCTATGGATGGAAAAATTATTTGATGAACTCGACTCACATCATTCACTGTTCCGGTGAATAAGAGCAAAAATTTTTAAAATAACTTTCAAAAAATTACTCACTTTTTATTTACATGTAGAAAAAAAGTGAAGATTCATCTTTAAAAAAATTATATGGACAAATATTATTGGTTGTGATCACGGATGATTCAATGTATCAGGACCATCTTATTTATATGTAGCCCAGTTATAATTCACGCTTGCATCCCCAAAACTATGCCTCCGTCTTCTCTCATCTTTGCTACCAACAATCAGATCCCAGTGGTAAGAGAGTTTTGTTCTCCTTAAAAATCTTAGATTTGAACAGCTGTATTTACATGATGTATGTACTATTACCACCTTATAATCACTCCAAGATAATTCAACACCCAAAGCAAATTACAAGGTTTAAGAAAAAAAAATGCAAAATTTCAGTGGTTTAAATTCAAACAAAGCTTCATTAATTTATATTCAATGGAATATGGGGAACCATATTGCCTAAAGATACCAACACTTGATTGTCGGAAAAAAGGGGGGCTAATAATGGCTAATATATAGGGAGTCCAATCGCCATCAGATTTTGATCACTTCTTATTGGTTCAAATGTGAAAAATCCCCACATAAAAAGGCCAAGACAGTTTTAAACTTAAGTTGTCTCTTTCAAGTTTCAAGACATCACTTTTCTATGTCTTGAAAGTATTGGGAACTAAACAATTTAGTTGTAGGGGAAAGGAAAACATGCCCATTATCACCCACCATTTTGTTTCTTAAGCCCACAAATAATTGAAACTAGCAGGAACCAATGAGAAGACAAAACATATCATTTTTTAACTTGGATATAACAATTCATGTTTTGAAATTTTGGACCTAACTTTTCTAGTCTTCTTAGAAGATTACGTATATGTGATGTATCAACAATATATAATTTTATATATTATTAGTAAATTAAATGATATCACATTATTAAAAATTAATATAAGTGAATTTAATTTTAGTTTTTTAATAGTATGTTGCTACCTCCATCCTAATAAAATTGTCTTTTATTGACTATTTTTTAGTCAATTTTTTTAACTTTGACTTTATATTATTTAAAATTCATTATTAATAAAAACATGATTTTTTAAAACTTTCAATCAAATAGTTTTGAAATATGTATTTTACAAAATTTAATTTTTTTAAATATTTAAAATAATTGTGGTCAAATTTTAAAAAATTTGACTTTTCAAAAGTTAATAGGAAATTGTTTTAATGAGATGGAGGGAATATTACCTTTTAAGATGATTGATCCTCTAATTTAATTTGAATTAAAAACTTTTGGATCCAAATTTTCTATCAACTAGTATATTATAGCAGCTTGATCTAATTTTCTTTCAATTTTGTCTCTAATTTTTTAAATTTTATGTAAAAAAAAACGGGCTTAACATGACAATTAGATTCTTCTCTATTAGCTTAAATTTTAAATAATAAACCATTAAATTTAATCATTTAAAAAGAAAATAGCATTTGGCATTACTGTTCTAGCTCCTATCATATTAATTACTTCCCATAACAAAAACAATTATTTAAATATTTATTTCAAAGCTTACAAAAAATGATACTTTTTATTATATACATACAACATTTTGGAGACTGGAAGAGCCATTTTTAATAAATTTATTAAAATGGTTGGCCTTATGCATAGATCTTAGGTGAAAATTAGTTAAGAATTAAAGTGAGTTATAACACTCATAACCTGTATACGTCTCAAAATATGAGTTAAAGATGTTACATTAACTTTAAAAACATTTGTTCAACATAAATGCTTAAAATTTTGTTTCATTTAAAACCTTCCTGTTTCAAATTTAAAATTACTTCCTTAATCTTATAAAATCATAAACAATATTTAATTATTGAAAACGAATCCAATTTCAGACAACAATTAGACAATTTAGTGTTGTTTCATAATCTATTTAAAATTGCCTAAACACTGCTTAATTTAAAAACCATTTTAAAATATAAAACATAAATATAATATTCATGCATAAAGTTACATATAAGTATAACTACCCAAAATAAATGGTCATAGTTTACTATTACAGAGTATTTTAAAATAAAACTGATAAAATAACTAACACATAAAATATACATGCCACTAAAAACCAAAAGAAACATCAAGATGTTTTACTGATACTGTAACACCCCCAATCCATATCCGACCCGGATCCGAGTCCGAGGTGTCACATTGACTTTTCAAGACGCTTTTCTTTACAAATTAGCAAAAAATTTAAATTTACAATTTAAGAAAATGAATACTTTACATTAATTAAAATCAATTGGTTTTACAAAACATATCAGAGCATATTCAACTCAAATTTAATAGTACATGCCAATTACATTCATTAAAACGAAATACCTATTAATAATTTATTTTCTGATCTGACATTCAATAAGGAGAAACTGACATGTCTTGCTCTTCTTTGCTCATTAGTCTTCTCGAAACCTACGTGTGAAACATTCACACGCTAAGTCTACGACTTAGTGAGACATATAAAACATATAAGGTAAACTATAACTCTTAACAATGAATGCATGTTTCATACTATCATATCATACAACCTCATATACACTTTCACGTAATAAATATATCCATACACATATATCATCATATCATATATGATTGTATACTATTTCATGTTCATATAATCCTGTATATTTACCACACTTAGCTTATATCACATTCTCCTGTTATCATTTAAATAATTTCTTTTACATAATTCTTAATCATATAATTTCTATCCCAAAGTCACATATCTTATCTCTTATTTCCATATGCTTGTATTTCTCATATAACCCATAGATTCTTTTTACATATTCTATATCATATTCTTGTATACTAATTCCTTATATTCAATTAGTTCATTTTTCACATAATTTGTCACATAAACATATATTTTCATAACTTATCATGATCTAATTCCTATGATATCTTCATATGATTTCATTTACTAGATCCTTGTACTATATTTCATATCACCTAATAATTTAACAAGTTTTAGATTACAATTTCATTGAAACATATAAACCTTCCTATACAACTTATCTCATATATTCTTATACTTATTTATGTACATGTTTCCTATTTGATATATTATTTATTTTATCTCAATTCTCATTTAATAATATAATTCCATTATACTAGTTCACCTACAAAGTATATTCTCACAGTACGATCATAATCATTCTATTCATACAATCATATAGTTAACTGCCTCATTACCTATACATATAATTATAGAGCTCACAACATTTCTCATGTAATCCCTTATACTATATCATATAAGTTCATTATATTCTCTTTATTCAAATATATCATATAAACATATTTTCACATAGATATTATAACATGTGTAATATGTGCAACCTACATACTCATATCCAAATACTCGGTCCACATATAACAATTACACAAGGTTTATTTATATTATCTCTTTATTAGCCCATGTACACATGTGAGAACTACAGATATATAAGTCTATAGAGGTTGTGCACATATGCTGTCACCACAGCTCGTATAAAATCCCACTAGGGGCACATAGACTTTGTCCCGGAAGACCACTCCTTAAGAACCATATACATATTCCAATGGACCAAATAAGTGTACTGAAGTATCGCATATATGTTCCAAAGGATTACATATATGTCCCGAAGGACCACTTAGAACCCTCGACTCTTGGCATGTCAACTATACATCTAGCTCTCATGACACATAACATGGACATTCTCTTTCATATCATTTCCCATATTTATATATACATATGGTTCACCTTTACATATTACATAGCTTATCACATATACTTTCTCTCATATATCTTATGACATGTCTCATATCTTGTGATCATGTAAGCACATTACTTATTTTCATGTAGCTCATATCATTTCATTCATAATCACATATCTCATGTTTATATGATCTCTTAAGTTCATATCATATATCTTATAATATATTATTATGTCATCACATATATCATCTATACTTATTCACAATTACACTAACATGTACTCACGTATATCATATAACATATGCAATTAACCAATAACACATATATATTATGTCAAACATATGCTCATATTAATGAATTCATGCATTCTACTATAGGAAATAGACTTGTTGCAAGGAAATAGACTTGTTGCAAGTCTTATTTCCATTAAACATCATATACTATCTAATATGCACTCACATAGCCTCGCTAGTCAATTCGAGCACTTATAACTCTTT